CAGAAGGAAAGGGCCTTTTATAAATCGACTAGTCTAAATCTTTTTCTGTTATTTTAAAAAAAGACATATTGAATATTATAATTGACATATTGAACATATTGAAACGAAGTTGGGTTTAAAATTTTAGTAAATTTCGTCATATTAACGACCTAATCCGTGATATAAAAGAGGCCCGATTACTCGTTTAAACAACAGTAAATTGAAAAGCCCTAAATTATCTTCTTAACACCAGGCCCCAAACTGTGCCTTATAAAGCCCTCTATTGCAATACAGCAATACAGGAAAACACATTTAATCTAATTAGGTCAAATTATATATTGCAGGTGAAAGTTTTTCTTTAATGCCTTTAATTGCTAAAACCAATTTCTTATCCGAATAAATAGTAATGAAATGTCTCTTACCCAGGAGGATGGAGATAAAAAACATCTTCAAATCGCTTTCCAAATCGCACTCTTTCTATTAACAATAGCAAAACTACGCAACAACGACAACTTGAATTGTTCAATTCGTTTCTTACGCGTTAAACAAAAAAAAAGAGAGAATTTAATGAACAACTTGTCATTTGATCGAAAAAAGCACAATGTTTAGTGGATCGACTTAATTCAAATTAAAAATTACCGGTGATTTTTCTGGTTATCGGTAGTACAACAGTCAGGAATTTTGTAACACGTTTTTGGTATGATTGAATGAGCTAAGTACGAGATACAAGTGTGATCTGCAGAAAAGAATGTCTAAATGACAATGCTTTATGGAAAACTAATATTTATTTAGGCGTTAGACAAGAAAAGTAGACCCAAAAAATTCTACTTTTGCAATTGTGTCGGTGTGGCTCAAACCGGCAACTCACTATCACGTTTTACAATGGCAAATTAACTCACAAAGTACTGTAGATATCTTGATAAAAAGTGAAATAGTTTTACCAGAAGAAATTTACAATTTAATAAAGGACAGATACACACTTCATAATTGAAGAAATCATAAAGATTTGAATCATAAATTATTTTACAATTCTACCGAAAACTCTTGAAAAAGTTTAATTATTAATAATAAAATAAAGGATTGTAAATACTATACATTTATTTTATTTATTGAAACATTTAAAACATTAGAGATAACTTCTAATATCACAAGATAACATTATTTCACTACATCAAGTGTAAACTTTTACATGAAATATTCGGCATTTTTTATAATAAAACTTGAATAATTTCTCATTAATATTGATAAAAAATTTTTAGGAAACAAAGTAAATCTGCATGCACATAAGTTAGGAGAATAGAGCCGGTCTGGTACAAAAGAAAAGTCTGATACTCTGTGGATCTCAGATCGAATCAGTAGAAATGAAAACTCCATGAATTTGTCGTAGGATGATCTCTCCAATACTTCCTTCATTATGGATATGGATGCCAAACTGTGAGCCTGGCCGAACTTCACAACTTTCTTGCTACAAGTTTTAAAAATTCAGTTGACCTCATAGAGCCGCAGGTGCCTCTATGAGGTCATAAATATACGCTTTTTGTTAAATTGCAAGTTTTTATATAGGTAAGTCATCTCTCCGTAAGCGTGGCAGTTAAAGTGTGGTGAAACGTATTGAAAAATATAGGGATTTCCAGCAATTAAGTGCCTTTTAAGTGGTGGAAAAAAACTATTGTAGTGTGGGACAAGTTGTTAAAGTCTAGGGCATGTTTCATTTGTAACGAGACGTTTGGATACATCTGACTGAAGAATTGGGCGGGTGCAGTGTATTCGTTGGAAGGAATGTGTGTTTTTGTGAGAAGTTACAGCTGTGCTGGAAACATCAATACACAGTGTCTTCAATTTCAAATTTAACATTTTTTCAATTATTTAGTGTAAATACAGTACCAATCATGTAATGGAGACAGGTTGTAACATCTGCCTGCAAAACTTCAAGTTTACAAAAGTATTGAAGCCGACGTTTTCATCGCGAAAACGTGAACGTCAAACGTTCAGCGCCGGCATCCTGTAAGTCTAGATGTTTGACAATGGCGTTTGGAACGTCGAGCATGATTCTGCTGACGTTCCAACGTCGCGTCGGCCGAATCGTCGGTCACAACCTCGCAATGTATTATGAGATTGTGCAGAAAAGAATAGATTTCTAGACATCACAAAAAGTGTACAAACTCTTTAGTAACAAAGATTATACAAATACTAATATGAATGTTTTTACGGTAAAGAAATTTAAGAACGTGTTAAAAAGTACCGTACATTCAGTCCCGCTCTCTCCCGTACTTATTATAGTTATTACTTGTATAAAAAACATTTACGATTCCAGGTCTTTTCAATAAAAATTTCGGCTAGGAAACAAAAGAACGATAAGGTATATCCCGTGGAAAGCAAAGCAAATGCACCGAACAGATCTTCTACAGATAAAGATTTGGGATCATTAAGCGGTGTTGGTTTCCGTTCGAAAAAGGATGTTCCAGTCATTTTATTAATGATTCCAGTTTCAAGTAATCTTCTCATTCTGAAAATGAATCAATTATATTATTAGATCAAATTTAGGCTATATCTTCAAGATACTTTAAAAGCTAACTTACAAATTGTCGATTTTACTTTTATACGGAAATCCTTTTCTCATGATAAATGCCAAGTTTCGTGTGAACAGAACATCGTCAGAAACTAAATATTGGTCGTCTGAATCCATAATTAGTGATTTTTCTATTCCTGGTGACGAAACAATTGCGAGTTGTGACGTTTCACCGTACATCTTAATAAACTTCTTTGCAAGTTTGGAACGGTTTATGTACAATTCCATGTTTTTAGAACTTCCGGTTTTAATAAATTTATCTTTGAGGTCAGTTATATCTTCTTTTCTAAACTGTTTTAACAAAAACTTTCGACTCGAATAGAAGTGCTTTGCCAAGGTATTTATATATCCAATTTTTGATTTCTGTAAAGAATTTTATTCTTATTCAAGTTATAGAAAAATTTTTACGAACTAAAAAATCATTAATAATCTATTAATTTATTGTGGGATTAATGTCAAAGTTTATAAAAAAGGAAAGTGCAGTATAATGTTATTTATGAATTGTTACGTGTATAAGCAGTCCTGAAGAAAATATGCTAAAATGAATTTGCTGTATTTTTTTCTATTCTAAGCGAAATCACTTTTGCTTCCTTGATCGCAGAAAGCGGCAACACAATAGAATGAAGCGATGCCACACGTGGCAATAGTTCCAACCTTGTCCCATAACATTTCCATGTTCGATTAATCGATCTGGATGAAATTTGAAACAGTTTGTGTGTATGATTAGTGTTATGCATGTCATAACATGTCACAAATTTTTCATTCTTGCGAGTAGCATTCTGTCCCCTAAATTTACAAGAGGAGAAAATGGTGATGCCAAGATAACGAACAATCTAAGTTTTCTCATATGTTTAATAGCTGTTTTCAGACTTCACCGTCCCTTATTTGATCGTTTAAGGTTTTATTTAAAATTATCAAATACTCATAAAATAACATTTCATTTATTAAATTATGCCGTATTATTAGTCAATCAGTTATTACGTGGCATGACAAGATGTGGCGTGATTGTAAAGTAAATATAAAATTACCTTAAATGGTATTATAGTACAAACGTATTGTAAACTGAAGAAAAATATTTAAAATCTCATAAAAATATGGTAAAACATTTTGAAAAGTAAAGCTCTGCTTAAAAAAGAGAATTTAAGGAAACTTAAGAAACTTGTGGCATAAGAACACTACAATTAGTATTGCCCGTAAAACTCAACGTGTTAATAAAGTGCACATTACACAAAACCATAACTACAGGAAGTTTTGGATAAAGCAATCTTATAACAATAATAAATCACAAAAACAGTCATCGTCACAGAAATACTCATCAAGCTTTACTTTGTGCTTTAAATGTGTAACTCTCTTGCCTAAAATTCTAATAATTCGGCAAAATATTAGAGCATATTTGAACAGTATCAGTGAATAAATTTTATTTTTATACAACAATTTTTAAAAGTATCCTTTATTTAGATGTTTTTAACGAGGTTTATTTTTAAGCTGGTTTTAAAGGTTTTAGGAATAAACATCTATATCTATATCTATGTATCTATATATATATAAATGGACGTGTGTGTCCCTATATTTCACTTTTTCGCCAAAACTACACATCGCACGTGAATGGTGTTTGTATGTGGTGGTAGCCCCAAGTCTCCATTCGTGCACTATGGTGGTTGCGTCTCGATAGCTATAAGGGTGCGGGAGATATGGGTTTGAAAGTAGTTGAAAGTGGAAAATTTTCTATTTCGATTTAAAAAATTTTCGAATTCGAATTGGTTCGATTATAGAACGATTGTAAACGTTCCAGAAA